TTGAATTCAATGTATCAACACCCCTACCAGACATGCATCCGAGTATCAGAAGATAGATTCAAGATCTAGCAAGCATCAAGTCTTTAGCGTGGGTTGCAATTCGCCAGTAGCTGCAGCTCATTCGTTCCACGTAGTAGCAAAACTACAAGTTTCAGTGAACAGAGCAGCAGGACATGATATGCACCGAATCAGGTGGCAATCAAAAAAGATGCCTCGGTGGTTTCATTTGCTGTGCCTCTGAAATGCGTAATTTTCATTCCTGAAAAATGGCTTTGGCTTTGATTCGCAATTCATTGAAGAATCTGTATCCTTTTCGCTTGGCTTTCTCTAACCACAATGGGCAAGACCCAACTCCTCTGCATGCACAAGACCACGCCTACGCAGCTTTTAGCTTTGCACATGCGACGAAGCAACTAGGGAAGCAAACAGATTGCATGTTTTGCACGAAATGTTGCCTTGCAGCAATAGTACTGGCAAGATGCTAGTACTATAGACTGCACATTTGTTCTAAGGGTAGGGACCTTCAGACCTTTTCTGCCTTAGCCAAGAGCTTTGTTGTCCTTCCGAAACCTAGCTGCCTAGCTCCGTGATCAAAGCCAAAAAGTTTTCATATCTGCGCTGCGCAGTTTTCTAATGGGCATGGCATGACTGGCCATGGGAAGCCGTCTTCGACGGCGGGAGGCCCCTTCATGAAATCAAGCCATCACGCATCAAATGACCAGTAACAAGGCACAAAGAGCTTTGTTGCGCTGGCAGTCTGGCTGAGGCTGTCTTCTCCAAAAGATTGTGTGGACTGTGTTCGTAAGATCTGCAGATCCACCAAAACTTTTGACATCCAAGTGTTGAAACATCTTAGTGTTTGATTCTCTTGCGGTCTGCAAACACTGCCACCTTGAACAGGGTGCTTGGATTGAGATCGAGCGCTGTGTGGGATGCCAGCATCACCAGTATTGCACTTCTCACTCAGAGGCACCTGAAGCAGAAGGAATGGGGAGATGCTGACAGCATCTGACAATTTTCGATCAGTTTCCTACATCAGTTTGATGTTGCTGGCAGTTGCTCAGTTGCGGCTTTCTGAAACCTCTAAGATTGCACTGTGGGCACTGTGGGCACTGTGGGCATAGGAGAAGTACGACCAATACCAACGCGAGCTGACTGCAGCCGTCAGCGAAGCCTCGGATCACCAAAGGCCCAAGACATGGGTTGAGACGGTGACGCTTGAGGTGGGCCACAATCCAAGAGCACCAAACCCATCCCACAAAATTTGGTGCAGGTGTATATTGAATATATATATATACATGTACAATTACATACACATATACACTTACATAACCATATATCATATATACTTAACTCTTTTCCTCTCTCTCTCTCTCTTAAATATATATATATATACATATGAGTAACCGACAAAATTATTGTAATACTAATTTAGTCTTGCTTCGCCTTGGCCTTTCCGAGGTCGCGCAAAACCTTCATAACCGATAGGGGACGACCCTATACCGATACCCCATTTGTGATACCTCCAGGAATACTGAAATCCTCACAACCTACTATAGGTTGTGCACGGCATTAAATTACATATATATATATTATTGTAATTTTGTCCGCTACTCACAGATATGTATATATATATATACACATACACATATATTGTACACATTGAGTATATAGGATCAAATCCGTGCAATCCAGAGGGTACTGTATCAGATTGTACTGATATCCAATTGTTTGTGCTGTGTTGGGTATGGATGGATTCAACTTTTTCATGGTGAGGTCTAGCAGGGTTTCAGTTAATGCATGGTGCGTTTTGGTAAGAAAAGCATAGAGAGGAGTGTCTTCCAAATTCCCAAATAGTTCTGAAGCAACATCATACAACGCGACCTGAAAGAGGGCATCCTGAGTATTCTATATGTCTTGTGTGGATATGGCATTTCTTCAACAAATAGAGCAAGAGTAGCTCAACCCGGTAGAGTCTTTACGTCCGCCATCCACCTTCACCCAAGACATCAGAAGACAGAAGACATCAGAAGACATCAGAAGACATCAGCACAGAGGGTCAACAATAGCCGCTAACCACTCTCCGAGACTCTCCAAGCACAAGGCTTCCGGTCGAGATCAATCCAGGACCCGATGTAGGCACCACTGAGAGAGTTCAGCAGGCGCCACGCATTTGTCATGGCACTTGGGAGCCGGTGTAGCTGGGTCTATTTTTATTCACTGTCTAGTCCCATTCTCGCCCAGCTACAATCATGGATGCATTGCCTCTCCCTGTGTGGCACACCTCTGCACTTTCAAGAATCAGGCGTAACTCAGTGGGTTATGATTCTTAGCAACAATTCAAGGTTGTCGACTACGATCCATGAGACTTTCTTTCAAGCCCAAGGGGTGGCAAAGTGCAGGTCGGCAGTGATGAAACGATGTTCAAGGCTGACGCTGCAATCTGTAACGCCAGGAGGTTGGTGCAATCTGTAATCTGCAAGGGACAAGGTGACAGTTG